TTGCATAAATAGTGCTCTCTACTGCGAGGATCGTGCATCATACGTATCTAGTACCGCAAATATATGAACTTCATATATTCATTGTAACTCAGGTTTTAGTTACAATATTAACATAAAAAAACAGGAAGGACACATATGTAAAAAATTAAAGGTAACAGTGTTCCATAGTTCGTGCAGGGAGGCTAAGAAAACCGCGAGGCTATCGAGTCAGCCTCCATAAAGTAGGCCGACCTCATCAGCAAGGGAATAGTCCACGCCTCATACTGGTAATTGGGTGACGTTAAGGGGCATTTTTGGGGTCCTGCCTCTTTAATTGGACAACACGCGCCATTTTCGCGCGCCGTAACATAGACTATTGGATTAAACGTTATCGTAAATTTCCGTCATACAATAAACAGTTGTAACTGATGTTGCTGTTGTAGTCATTTTTTCTTCTTTTGAAGACGTTTGATCGGTAATTACGTGTTTCTTTGAATTAATTGATGACATGAATTTCTTGTTCCAAATGTGTCTACAGTTTCAAGTCTCTCAGTTAACAAACACACCTCTTGCTTTGCAGTTTTCTGATTTTGTTGATTGCTCGAATTAATACCGACCGTAGTGGACGTAGGCTATTACCATTATACAAAGAAATACATTTTTCTTAGTAGAGTTTTGATTTGTTCCTTTTATTTGACATTGAAATTGCCCAGCGAAAGGCAGAGATTGCAAGTGCTCAATATATCCGAGTGGAAACCTCAAGGAGTGTCCAAGATCTGGAAACAGAAATTCTGACAAAGGAGAAGTACATTCGGCAAGAGGAAAAGAAGTGAGTTAACTGGTGAAATAGTTTTGTTGTTAGTTTAATTGCTTCGTCAATTTTATTTCAAAAGGGGGCGATGATGCTATTTCGTCAGAGTGTGCCTCCATGTCGTGGTTCGTGCTTTAAATGAGATCGATTTGAACTCCATGCTTAGTTGAATTCAATTTTTTGCTGGGTCTTGAAGATCAGTTTTGTAATGATCCTTAGTTCACTAAGTTAGAATGATGGTGTAGTCTTTATTTATTGACCACACACAACATATACCTGCAAACAAAAGTGCAAGGTTTACCAGAATTTACCACTAAAGAGAAAACTAGTTATAATAGTAATGAAATTAAAAAGACATCTGTAGATACAAGTTCGTTTAAAACTTTCCTTACGAATACGAGGTAAAATGTAGTTATGGCCGCGAGAACAGAGCGACCATCCCCTCTGCATGGGAAGTAGGTCATGTAGACAGTGATCGTTGTCTTTCGTGATCTGTTCCCATAGCAATTTATCTCTGACACGAAGAATACCTCTAATGGGTGTAAAATTCAATAGATAACGATATTTGTGGGCACGTTTACAGAACTTATCGACTCGGCTAAGGTATTTACATTCTAATGCGCTTCCCCAAACTTCAATTGCATACAAAAATAATGACCTAATTAAGCTATTAAAGAGAGCCGTCAAATCCTCCTGCGAATAACCATAAAATTTACAAACCCTTATTATGTAAAGCCTAGAACTGGCTTTACGTAGCAGAAGATCACAACGAGTGTCCCAGTTACAGGGGTCTTGATTGAAGGTTACACCTAACAATTTAATTTCAGCCTTCCTTACAATTGAGGGTAACGCATTTGGCTCCTGTTTGGTTGTTTTCCCTCTTAATACTATTTCCCAGGTCTTGCCTAGGTTAAGTTGGCGTTATGTTAGAATGAGCGTGCGAAGAAAACTGCCCCACAACAATATCCTGACCATACAAACTATATTTTAACCACAGCCGTGGAAAGGTCGAAGATATTAGGAAAGAGTATGGAGAAACAAGGGAAAAGTACGCAGAGATCCTTCAGAAGCGTAAGAATATCAAGAGATATAACCAGGTGAACAATTCGTTTCCCTCATTTTCCATCCAATACCCTCCCATTTTCTTTGTATATTTTGCCTTCTTTTTATTTGTTGCTGTTGTTGTTGATATTTTATTTTTTGTCGCCCAGAGAATAAAAGCTTCCATGGAGTTAAGAGTGGAATATCTTTTTAAGACGAGAATGTTGTTGGCCTCAATGACGTCGCAGTTTTTTACACAGCATTTGAGTCAGAGGGGCTTCAGTGGGTATATTTCATTTGATCACAAAGAAGAAACCCTCAAGTTGATTGTAAGTACAATGTACACCACAGTACCCACTTTATCGATTGTGGGGAAACCTGCGTTAAGCTAACACCCTTGTGACTCCAGGTGTGGTAAATTCAGTTCAAACGGTGGTTAATTTAGATAGATAAACTTCATTTATTCAGGGTAACCCATTCAGCCACGAGGCTGGTATCCAAAGGGGCCATGGTGTTTAAACTAACAATAATGTCGTAGAAATTACTAATTACATATAAAAACTACAAATATATTCCTAAAATTACACTAGGTAACATTAAAAGATTTAAAGTATTGGCGAGCAGTCCTATAGGTGAAAATTTAAAAATGGAAGTTATAAAAAGTTTAGTTTTTAATTTTAGGCCTAAAAATCTGCAAGGACTCGGATTGTTTGTGGCAAAGAATTGAATGAGGCCGATCCAAAATGTTCTCTTTCCCAGGCTTAGCTTTAGTTTGGGAAGATGATTATTGTCCTTCCTTCTTGTATTATATCGGTGGACTCGGTTATTTTGATAAGATAATCACTAAGATACTGTGGCACTAGGTTACTAACCAGCCCCCCCAAGCTGTGATTGGGCTAACGCTCGAAACGTCAGCTTTTGTAATCGTTACGGTGGCCAATTTACCATTTCAACTTTTTTGATATATCCAAATTATTTCGTTACTCCCACCGACGCAGCCCGAAACAGTTTCTTTCGAAACTATCAGCCTTTATTCATTTGTGAATGGAAACGCTAAGCTTTCTCATTATGCTGTCCGCGTAAAATAGAATTCATGTAACAAAAGTTCTTCACTTTGGTTGGTCCACTTACCAGAGGTGTCGGCTAAATAAAGTGAGAGTCGATCTCGTAGTGAAACTTTGGAACTCGAGTTGCTGTCTGCTTAACATAGGTTAAAAAAAAACAGTATGTTTACTCGAATAGCGCTGGGATCAGTATGAAGTAACGAACTATCTTTGTGACGGACATGTTTCTAATATTCTAGTGAGACTCCTTGTTTATGCAGTGACAGACCTCTTCAGTACTGCGCATAGAAAGAGAAGAGATTCTCTTTCTGTCCAAGGAAGAAAGCACCCTTGTTTTTCTCTCCCAGAAGTTTTCCTAAGAAGCAGAAGAAAACCTTTCCAGCAGCTTCTATACATTGTCTTGTACACTAGTTAGGAGAATATGGTGTCATATCATTATAATGCCCTCTGACTGATATTCCTGTATATTCCCTTGGCCCCTTTGCCGGATAGTGTTTTGATATTATGAGGCTGGAGTGGTCACATGTTAGTTCCAAGAGCTCAGGGGTGGAACAAACTTTAAAATTGTCTTTAAGTGGACAGCTTGCAGTTCTATTTTGGGTCATCCTTTTCATCCCTAATTTCTTTTTGCTTGCAGGTTAATGTCCACAAAGGTCCACATCATGTGTATTCTGAAAGGGAAGTAGACGAAAGCACCTCAATAATGAAGTCCTTGTCTGGTGGTGAGAGATCTGTCTCTACCATATCTTATTTGACAGCCTTGTGGGGAACCATGGAATCTCCCTTTAGATGTCTGGATGAATTTGATGTGTTCATGGTAAATGACTCCTTCTGTCCATTTCTGCGAAATACGTTGCGCGAGGTAAAAATTGATGTAAGCGCGCTAAAATTTTTTTACTCGCGCAACAGACCTCATAGAGACAACTCGTACTCTATGTGCACTTCAAGAGGTCGGAGTTCTTCGCAGCGTCGGACTCTTCAACATTAATAAGGTGCATTACTGATCCATAACATGCAAAAATCGGAAGCCTTTCCCATCACACCCCTGTATGATGTGACCATATTCAAAGAGTATTATCTGTTAAGTTTTTTTTTTTCGTCGTTTTTTTTTTTTTGGCGAGGTCGGGGAGAGGTTTATTTTTTATATGAGTAATATCAAATGACATGTTCGTGGATAGTTATCTCATTCATTGTCGTCCCTGGCAAGTTTGGCCTTCGATCGTACCAGTGTACCCTCTTTACTTTATTCTTTTAAATTTATATTTTCCTTTTCCGTCTGATGTTTCCCTTAATTTTTAGGATTTAATGAACCGCAAAGTTATCATGGAAATGGTGTTGGAAATTGCTAAGTTGCCATCACAGAAGCATCGTCAATTTATTTTCTTGACTCCCTTAGACTTAAGGTAAGACGTTTTTACACCTCCTCTTTCTCTTTCTCTTCTTCCCACCTCTTCGTCGTTCCAGGGGCGAGAAGAGCGAAGAGATATCCTAGGAACAAGTTTGAAGAAATTTCAATTTTCTACTTAACTATCATCCATTACTTGTTCGTTTCAGTGGTATGCCTTTGGACAAAAACTTAAACATCAGAATATTTGAGATGGCTGATCCGGAAAGGTGAAGACGCCTCAGTTGTGACAAGATACAAATCAAAAACTGACTCGCACAGTGCATGAAATTATTTGTTTAGAAAAATGAATATATTCTTTTAGAATAAATTTACATAGATTCTCAAGCTATTAACGTACATTTTTTAAAGATAGATAAGTATTTATTTTTATTTAAAAGAAAATATAACTGTTTCAGTTTATAGACATCTAATTCAGGAGACAATATTTGGTTGCGACTTAAGAAAAAAGATTCTCCTGCGCATGCACGACACACGACCTTTGCGTCTGTTACCTTAAGTAGGGAGAAACCTCTATTGTTTTCTAGTTCATAGGGTGTCCCTGTGAGAGAGGTTCCTCTTTACTTACTGACACAAGTTAGATTGTATCCTCTTCACCTAAATACATATGTTTGTTCATGTTTTTGTACGTGTTCTATTTTAGTCTTTCATCTCAGCCTAATTCTATGTCGTAATTGAATCAACAATTCGATTGAGTCCATTTAAAACCTTTTCGTTCAGCGGTGATGGATGTTGTAAGCTGTCTTGTTCCTATTTTCGAGATTTGAAGGAGCACTGACACGCTAATTGAAAGAGTAATGGTGTCGTCCTCAGAAATGTTTATGCCACCCGTTTTATCACAGGGGGCCCATACAATCTGTTTGTGTAGCCGACCGTTGTTTTATAGTGAATAGGGACTTTAAGCAAACCACGACGGCTACGGCAACGAGAACGTGAAAAAACAATAGATCTAATTGGCAGAACAATAGCCCGACACGTGCGTTTTAAAACTTTGTACAGTTCTTAGCCGTCCTTTGCAAAACAACAACGTGAAATCACCAAAATTTGCGTCGTTTGCGAAGCGAGACCGCGGCGGCAAATTATTTTAATTGCCATTTGTAACTCAACGCTACTTTTATGCGTTATGTGGAGTTTGAGGTCTGGCGCCCTATGAGACGGTAAACACATGCAGCCATTTTCGAAATTCTAACTAAAAGTAGAAACTCATTTTTAATCGACGTCTTCCGTGGCGTTGCCGTCCTGACTGCTTAAAGTCCCTAATGTACCAGATTT